CTCCGTTGTGGCGTGCGCCGCCAGTGAGGCCGCGTGCGCCAGGGCCCGACGCGGCTCGGGATCCCGGACGTCGTGCGCGTCCCCGGCCGGACCAGCGCACCCGCGCTGCCAATGGGGAGGCCGGAAGACGAAGAAGGATGATGAGTGGAGTCCACCTGTAAGAGGGGCAAAAAAGACATTGCAAGCTTATGTTAGCAGCCATTTTGACAGCATTGGTGCTGTATAGGGGTCGAAAAAATCAAAACGATGGCCGAGAATGAAGATGAATTTTTTGGGTGGCTGAGAAGGAAGATGCATCTTTTATAATGGCTCACGGGAAATGTCTCAAGTATAAAGTGGTGATTTTGAATAGTTCAGGATTCCTATGCAAAATTATCTTCTATATTTTAGGAGTGATCTTTTAAAAATGGTTGGAGGAAGCCAACAAATATGCTCCTAATTTTTTAGGCACTTCTAAAATTTATTGATTTACCAACTAAACTTTTTTTAGGAATTATCGGAGATGCTCCCTCCGTCCATATAAAATAAATAAATAATATATATCCTCTACAAGTATTGGGTAATAATTCTTTTGAATTTTTTTAATGTGGGTGAATCACGAGATGCTGCACTATGGAAACACGTGGAATTGTGAGTAAACAAACAAACAGAACACTTAGACAAGCAAATAAATAGATGGAAGATGAATCACGAGAAACGATTCACCGGTTGCCTTCTCATTATAAAGGAGGCTTGTGATTGCAGATTATTTCTTCTCTTTACTCCATCCAAAGGAAAGAAATAAAGATCACATTTCTCCTCCCTATTTCTATATGTTCATATATATGTGCTCTATGTGTGTGTGCGCATAATGATTGATAGAACAATTTCTTAAAAACTATTAAGGATAAAGATCCCTTACCTATAGTTGATGAGTTATTGGATGAGCTACATGAGGCAAAAGGGTTCGCCAAACTATATTGTCGATTTGGATATCATCAAATTTGGGTTGCAATTAGGGATGAGTACAAACCTGCATTCAAAACTCATCATGACTTGTCTGAGTTCAAAGTTATGCCACTTGGGCTCACTAATTCCTTAGCTTCCTTTCAAGGTCCTATAAATTCCATTTTGCTCCCCTATTAAAGGTGTGCTGGGTTTCATGGATGACATTTTGATGTATAACTCTACTTTGGAACAACATGTGGCTCTCCTTCTCCAAGTCTTTGAGATTTTGCAGCAAAATGAATTCCATCTCAAACTATCTAAATGTGCTTTTGCAACTGGAGCTCAATATTTGGGGGCACATCTCCTCTGTTGTAGGTGTGCCAATAAAACCAACAAAAGTTCCAACAATTGCAACATGGCCTTCTCCCAAAATAGTAAATGATTTGAGAGGATTTTTGGGTCTCACTGGTTATTACAAAGGGATTTATCAAGCATTATGGACTCATCACTAAAATCTAATGAGAAAGTGTACTATTTTTCAGTGGACCCCATTAGCTCAACAAGCCTTTGACATTCTAAAACAAGCCCTCATTAATGCTCCAATGCTGGCTGTTCCAAACTATCACAAACCATTTTGTGATTGAAATTGATGCTAGTGATGTGAGTTTTGGAGTTGTTTTGATATTTAAGTAATTCCTTGAGCCCTAAAATTATAAAAACAAAACTCTCTCTCCATATGTATGGCCATTTTACTAGCCATAGAAAAGTGGAGATCATATTTGTTGGGGCAAGAGTTCACTATCAGAATTGATCATCAAAGTTTCTAATACCTTACTAAGCATAAGGTCACCATCCAGTTGCAGCAGAAAGCCCTTCTCAAGCTTATGGACCTCAATTTCAGAATATAGTACAAAAAAGGTACTTTAAGTGTAGCAGCTAGTGCCTAATCTAGGTGTGTTGTCCCTTAGTCTATTACTTTATTTCGACTTGATCACCTATATGGTTAGAAAGACTACAAACTAGATATAAGCATGATTCTAAAGCTAACAATTGCTAACACAATTGGCTCTACGTGATAGCAATGATAGACGATATTCTCTCTTCAATAGGATCATTCGATACAAGGGCAGAGTTTGGGTGGGTAACTATTCCCTCGCTCAAAATCACATTTTACAAGCCTTGCATGCTAGTGGATGTTGGTGGACACTAGAATTCATGACACTTATCACAAAATTAAAGGTCTATTTGCATGGACTAAGCTAAAGTAATCAGTTATCACATATATTCAGTCATGTGATGTTTTTTTGCAAAGCCACAATAGAGCATGTTAAATTGCCATGTCTTCTACAACCTCTTCTTGTCCCTTAGCACACTTGGTCCATTGTCCGTCTTGACATTGTGGAAGGCCTACCAAAGTATGATGGTATGCATGTTATCTTTGTGGTTGTTGATAAGGTTACTAAGTATGCACACTTCTGGCCCTGTCCCACACCTATATTGCTCTCCAAGTGGCCAAGTTGTACTTCAGTCAAATTTATTGCTTGCATCAACTTCCCTTTGTGATTTCATCTGTGAGAGGCAAGATTTTCATCGGGGTTTTATGATAGGAGTTATTTCGACTGTCTGATACTCGACTATTGATGCTCTCCTCACATCCTCCCCAAACATATGGCCAAACAGAGTGTTTGAATCAGTTTCTAGAACCCTTTCTTCATTGCACTATTCATTCCTGTCCAAAAGCAGTGGAATAAATGGTTGCCATTAGTGGAGTTTAGGTACAAACTTTGTTTCAGTCTGCTCTAGGTCATACCCCTTTTGAGGTTTTGTATGCCCACGCTCCGAGACATTTGGGAATTACCTATCCTTGCGATTTTGTTGTTCCAGATTTGGCCGGTTGGTTGAAACAACGCCCTTTGCTGACATCACTCATTCAACAACAGCTATCTCAAGCTCAGGCTCACAAGAAACATCAGGTGGACAAAGGGCGATCAAAAGGTAGTTTGAGGTCAATGGTCTCGTCTATCTCAAGCTTCCACATGTTCAAACTATAGTTGCCACGAGATCAAATCAGAAATTGGCCTTTTGATCCTATGGTCCTTTCAATATTTTGAAATGTGTGGGCTCAATGGTGTATCAATTAGAGTTACCACCGACTACGAAGATTTACCTGGTGGTGCATGTCTAAAATTAAACAACATATTCCTGCACAAACATAGGTCAGTATTGATCTTTTATCAGTCTCCATTGATCCAGATGCCCCAATTCCACTAATGGTTGTGTTGGATCGTCTAATTATTTTAGTATAGGGCAACTTTTGTGAAGTTGGAAGTGCCCTGGGTGATTCGACATGTTCCCTGGTGACACTCGAAGATGAACATGACATGAAGCGTCGTTGTCCTGAGAGGCACTAACTTGTGGTCAAGTTGTTTCTCCAGGGAGAGGGAATGCCATGAATCACACGGCCCTGAGGTGGAAACAGAGGAAGGAAGCGACGTGGAAGAAGTGGGTCTTTGATGAGCGGGAAAGTGGCTAAGGCTTCAGGTGTTGTGTAGGCTCTATTCTAAACCGGATGGGAAGGCCGTAGGCCAAGTAACTCAGCGCTATGTCGCCTATATCAGCCATGGTTGGCTTGTAACACAAACCAATGAATTTTTGGGGATAACTATTATACCTGAACCAAAACATTCATCCTCCTCACGGAATCTAGCCGTGTCTGATATCCTCGTCTGATTTCTCCCAAAATTCCTACTGATTACTTCCCAAACTCTATTCTAGCTTCCTAGGTTCACAACAATCTAGCTGAGGGACACATGTAGGGTGCACACCGTGTCTGCAATCCATTCCATCCATCAGCGTCGTCTGGCCTCTCGCAACTTACATGCCTCTGAACGGAACAAAATATATATAACAAAAGAACAACACAACATTTTGTAAACCACCTGAAGTGGTCGTCCAAATCACTGGTCGAGGTTTTTCGTTTTTTTGTGTTCAAGCATCTCATCTGGAAGGAACCGTAATATCAAAAAGAAAAAAAAAGGTTCCAAGAAAAAAAAAACCATCAGTGTTTTTTACCGGCAGATATTTGGTTCTGGGGGAACCTCGCTTGGTGCGAAGAACAATCACAGATGGAGATGAGATTATACTAGTTCAGGCCCTCGGGAAGCGAGTAAAAGCCGTATGTCCAGTTGCTACTCTTGTATTGCTTGAATTCGGTGAGATTGTAGTTACAATGTAGCTATGCCTATCCAAGATTGAATGAATACAACAGGGGATGTTGATAGCTATTTATATCCGGGATCAACTTGCCCTACAAGCTAAGGAGTCATGCCCTAGTCGGAGTCTTGGCGTAATCCGGAGATATCCTTCCTTGAATAGGATCATCGTGGGCCTTCGGGGAATCTCTAATCCGGAGTAGGTTGTCGGCAATATGGAAGTCCGGGTACCCAGGGTTATGGCATCGACATAAGACCCCAAGCTTGTCTGTCAAACACAACTTGGTCGTCTATCAGTAGTCGGTATCATCTTAGTCGGGTGGTTTGTTGTTCGGGTACGAAGAGGTAGCCCGGGTTGCCAACAGCGATTTTGATCCCGATCCATATGCAAGCCGATAAAGGTGCGTTGTTGGGAGATGAGCTTGTTCTAGTGCCATCCCTGGGTCATCCTGTCTTGTCAATCCCGTTTCACACGCAACCTAGGGGTGCGCAGTTGTCTATCAATTGAAGCGCTGCAACGGCTCGGTTCCCCATGAGTGCACGTGGTGGAATTTAATTCCTTTTTAATTGAGACGGCGGTTGAGATTCCTAGAAAGGCAGTTTGGTCCTATTTAATTAGGCCCGCTCGTGATGAATCAGCAACCTTCATTCCCAAATCTCGTAGCAAAGATGAGGAAGAAAACTACCGGCCGCAAACGTCCCCACAAAGTGCCACGTCTGCTACTCGCGGTGTCACCCAGCCAATCATCATCCATGGTGGCATCGTCGAGTAGTACGGCGTCGCCTCCGCCATCTGCGACCGTATCTCCGTCCCTGATGTCCTCCGGAGCCCCAGTCCCAGCGGCAGCATTGTCGCCGACAATGACGCTAGTGGCTCCAGCCCAGCAGTCCCAAGAGGGGAAGCTAGGGTCAATGAAGTTGCCGCACCGGGACCTTCAGCCAGGCCTCGACCCAGTCGGCGCCAGCTGCACCAGAGGTGGTGATCGAGCTATCCAATGAGGATGAGCTGAAAGACTCAGGCCCACTGGTGGGTCCTGTTCCCATCGCTCCGGCCTCCACCGCCGCAACTGCCTCCGTCGCCTCCACCGCCCTCGACATCCCTGGCCCCTCTGCTCCTTGCACCGCTGGCTCGCCAGACACGAGCCACGATGAGGAGATCGCGAGGAAGCTCTTTGTTGAGCTAAATCGTGAGGCCATCAGCATCCTAGGAGACAACGACCTAGTGATCCTCAGCAGCGACAGTGAGGAAGAGGTCACCGAGGAGGAGGACGCCGATGAGGAGGAGGAGGAGAACGAGCCCGCGGGTGGTGGGTCACCGTCGAGGAGCTAGGCTAGTCCCTTCTCGTCAGCCAGCCCTCTGAGGAGCTTGGTGACAAGCGGCAGAAGTGCCTACTCCTGCTATCTTAGATTTGGGTCCCAGTTTAATCATTTGTAAATCCATGTTAATGAATTATATCAATGAAATGACTAGTTCCCGATGATTATCTTGCTATTTATCCATGTTTTTTCAAACTGTTCCGTGCTCGAATGGCCGCGACGCACTTTACACGTGAATACAATTTGAAGTTAGGATCTTGTAGCTGTATTGACCCGATTAGTGATTTTACCCTTAGCTCCGAACTATAACTTAGTCAGGGCCTAAGCCATAGTCGGGTTGGAGCTTTACTCACAACTCGGGCGTAAAATATCTTTGTCGTTGATTATTCACAGGGCACTAAATCTCCAACTTTATTCAGGGAATAAAGAAGTGATAGTTTTCCTTGTGAATAATCGTTGGCACGGTAGTCTAGGCGCACGTTATGGCTGTCGTGCGATTTTTAGGGGGGCCGTACATGACAGACAACCATTTAACCCCACGCCTCGCTTTGGTGGCAACCATTGCGCTTATTCTATCGCTTAGCATGTCTCTGTCCCTGCAACACTGTGACATGTGAAATATTAAGAAACTTCGTTAGTCTTACAGAATTCTTCTTTCTTTTGCTATTTGAACCTATCATCATGCAAACAGTTAGACTTATAGTAGCCAAACTCGATCGGTTTGCATGCTGTATGTTGATGCTACTTGCTAAACTAGGTTTAGCTTGAGCGAGAATTTTTTTTGCAGACTAGTGAATAGTAGTATGATAGCCCCCGGCTATTTATTTGGGTACGAGTAGCTTACCCGAATAAATAGTAGAAGACTAGTCGAGACAAAATAGCCGTAATTGAACAGCCCCAGCCCCAGCCCCTGGCTAACTGAGAAATAAAATTAAACAATAAATGAAACACTTATCTGGGTTGTATGCTAAGAAACACAACACTAGAAACGTAGTTTATTATGCATAAAAGCATTGTAGCTAATCCATGTTCCACGTATTCGGGAGCATATCCCCGTCTATCTCCGCTAGTCGGTATGCGCCTGGTCAGGCTATATCAACTACAATGTATGGACCCTGCCAAGCGGGTATCAACTTAGTTTTATCCTTTGTGCGTTGGTCTCGTTTGAGTACCAGATCACCGATACTAAGCGCCCGGCTTCTTACACGCTGGCTATGATATTTTCGAAGGGCTTGCTGGTATTTCTCGACTTGGAATGCAGCTATATCATGCTTATCTTCGAGGAGTTCTAGGTCGATATAACGATGGTTAGCTTGCTCTTCTTCGGAGAACATCGCTACTCGGGGCGAGTTTAGTCAGACTTCGGGGGGGGGGGGGACGGCTTCAGCCCCGTACACAAGGAAAAATGGCGTTTCACCCGTGGTCCGATTAGCTATAGTGCGCACTGCCCATAAAACTGTGGGGAGTTCTTCGACCCATTTTTTATCATATACACTAAGTCTATCCAAAATGTTGGTCTTGATCCCTTGTAGAATTATGCCGTTAGCACACTCTACTTGACCGTTGGTCATCGGGTGGTAGACTGAGGACCGATAATGCTTAATGGCATGTCTTTCACAAAAATTCTCAATTTTTTTGCTGGTAAATTGTGTACTATTATCTGAGAGTATTCGCTGCGGTACGCCAAAACGCAATACAATGCTCTGCAAAAATTTGGCTGTATTTTCTTTGGTTATCCGGCCTACTGGCTCGGTTTCAACCCACTTTGTGAAAGTATCGATCGCTATAATAAAAAATCTATAACCAGCCTGGGCTCTTGGGAAAGGACCCAAGATGTCGATGCCCCATGTGGCAAATGGCCAAGACAAAAGGATCATATTTAAAGCTTGAGCAAACTGGTGAATCTGTCGTTTAAAAAACTAACAAGCTTCACATGTTCTAACCAACTCAGTGGCGTCTTCGAGCGCTGTAGGCCAGTAAAAACCTTGTCAAAAGGCTTTTTCGACCAGCGTTATGTGAGAGGCATGGGACCCACAGATTCCTCCATGGATGTCGTGGAGCAAACTAATGCCCTCGGCCTAGGTGACACACTTGAGAAGAACCCCATTTTGCCCTCACTTGTAGAGGGTACCGTCTACCATTTGATAGCCTATGGCTTTACAACTGGTTCATTCTATATTCATATCATCGACCAGAGTAGCCTGGTTTGTGAGGTATGCCCAGATTGGATCCATCCAATTCTCCCCATTTCTAACTAGAGTGGCATCATGAGCCGTATCGCCCAGCATAGAGTTCCCAAGGAATTCGTTGAGTATTGCCTTGTCGCACGACGGATCAAGCGTGGGGTTTGGACCCGACTTTAACATCGGGATAGAGGGTTTTGTTAGCACTTCAACCAGGACATCTCTCGGTAGGTGCCATTGTTCAGCTGTCCGGCTAGCGAGCATGTCAACATCTGAGTTTAGTTTTCTCGGGTCGTATTGGACCTCGACTCCATCAAATTAAGATTCTAATCATCTGTATGCCAGTAAATATGCGGCCATGTTCTCGTTTGTTGCTCGATAATCCTTACTAGTTTGTTTAGCGACTACCTTTGAATCCCCTTTCACAAGTAGTAGTTTAATACCCAAGGATATGACAATTCATAAACCAATTAAGAGGCCCTCATATTCGGCAATATTGTTAGTTGGAGTAGGATCAGTAAAATCAATTTGGATTGCATACCTCATGGCATCCCCTTCCGAAGAGATCAAGATGACACCAGCCCCTGTGCCATTCTTGCATTTTGCACCATCATAGAACATCAGCCAGTGCTCGGGGTTTTGAGTCGCCTCCCCGGGTTCAGGATTTGTCCATTCTGCAACAAAATCACCTAGAGCCTATGATTTGATTGCAGTTCTAGGTACAAACTCTATATCGTATTGGCCTAACTCGATTGACCATTGGGCAATTCTACCAATGGCATCTCGATTATGAACAATGGTACCAAGTGGATATGAAGAAACCACTTTGATCTTGTGACTTAAGAAATAATGCTTAAGCTTTCGAGAAGACATTAATATGGCATAGATTAATTTTTGAATGTTTGGGTACTTGGATCGGGCATCATGTAGTACCTCGCTCACAAAATACACGGGGTGTTGTTTTGTTGACTTCTCGGCTTGACGCTCGACCACCAGGACCATGCTGACAACTATGCACTACTACACTCGCACCTTTCACAGCCGCGTCGTAAGCCACATTGCAGTTCAATTTTGGCCTCGGCAGTAAGTTGTCGACAGCGATGGTCATAGCCTTCACCGTCGCCATCTAGGACCGACTACGGTGTACACTAACACCGTCGATTGGCTTATGATCCATCCGTGATTAGGTCCTTACTTCAGTTGCATTGGAGCATGACCCGGCTGTGGATGTACACTAACACCACCACATTGGCAAATGATCTAACTATGTCAAGGCTATCAAAACCGTCGTGTGGGCACATCAACCGCCTATGTAGTGGTCACCAGCACCATCGCCTTGTACTTTGATCCGACTGTCAATAGTGCGGGTTCACTGTTAGTTTGACGGTCGAGACGCCTGTGTACAGGTTAACACCACCGTCGCTTCAGCGTATGATCCACCAGTACAAAGGTCATGGTCACTGTCGCCTTGCACCATGATCTGCCTTTGATGATCATTTAGTTGGTGTTGGGTTACTAAAGGATTCGGCGGTGATATACTTTTGATCCCTGCAGCATCATACATATAGCGACGGTGATAGAATTTCATTCCGTTTCACAATAGTTACTAATTTAGCTAGGCCCTTAATAGCTTAATGAACACAAAGCATACATATATATAATCATTACAACCATAAATCATGTTCACAAACAAGAGTACTTTTTACAATAACAATGGACGCTACCATAACATCTTTCTCAACTGATGTCCTAACACAAGCGGTACATAGAGCATACTAAAGGTACTGATCTATACAGACTTATATAACGAAACAACATAGCTGTGCTCCTTATATGTGGCACTCCTGTTTGCAAGGCAAAATGAATATAATTAGTGCATCCTTCGGATTGGTAGCCAATGCACCATGGAACCCCTCTTATTCATCTCTAATCCACAACCTGAACAAAGCAGTAGAATTAATAATATTGAATATGCCATTCCTTTAGTTAACAAACCAAAATTGGCCTATACATACATAGAATAAAAATAATTGCCTGCTCGAACAAAGACTGTCGTGACGAGGAAATACAGGAAATGCACCTTTACTGCTCTGCTAATGACTCCATGAACAAGGGAACATAAGGAAGATAGTAAGGCATGTTCATATGGAAATACCCTCTTGATCTACAAAAGCGGATGACACGGGCATGGATGACATGAACCTTTCTGCGGTCCATGTCATATGCAATCAATGTTCTATCCTTCCCAACAAGGAAAATGAAATTCCATTCTGGGTGAACTGTAATCACTTTGTACTCCTCATCACAAAGCTCAGAACCAACTTTAATATTCATGCATCCAAACAATTCCTCCATGTCCACAACATGCTTCAAATTCTAGTTATCAGTACCATAGTCTTCAAGTATCCACACTAAAAGCCAAGACCTATTGCAAAAATCATCACATCACACACACAGGTGACCCTGAGCTTGATGGATGGACATTTTAGCACCACCTGGTTTATGAATTGTCCTCCATGTATTTCCCTCCATATCCATGGCAACTATCACAGAGTACTCAACCACATGCATAAAACCATTAAGAAAAACACTTCTTGATTTTGAACATAGAACAATACTACCCTCGCCCCATTCAGATTCCTTAAAGATCCATGCTGCAGTTTTAGATAAGTAGATCTCCACACCTATGCACGCACCCTCCACCTCAACAAATTCAATCATATGGAAGTGTGAGGACATTGGTTCAAAACCTAAGTGAGCCAAACCAACAGAATGGATGCTACGCAGCAGTACATGCCATTTGTCGGTCGTCGGATTGCAGACAACATAG